TTTAATACCTCACTGCAAAACTGATATTATACTCTTTACAAACAAGATTAGGATACTAATTAAATGTATGAATTTAGGCTGACCTGGTGGCTGAAGCCTATAATCCCAGCACTTTGGGAGGCTAAAGTGGGTGGATTGCTTGAGTGTGAGACCAAGCTGGGCAACACAGCAAAACTCTGTCTGTATACAAAAATACAAATATTAGCCAGGCACTGTGGCATGCACCTGTAGTCTCAGCTACTTGGGAGGCTGAGGCGGGGGGAATCACTTAATCGGAGGTGGTGGTTGCAGTGAGCTGTGTTTGTGCCACTACATTCCAGCCTGGGTGACAGAGTTAGACCCTCTCTCTCAAAAAAAGTATAAATTCACATGTATATGACTTAAAAATCGTAATTCAGGCCAGGCGCAGAGGCTCATGCCTGTAATCCCAGCAGTTTGGGAGGCTGAAGCGGGCGGTACATGAGGTCAAGAGATTGAGACCATCCTGGCTAACATGGTGAAACCCTGTCTCTATGAAAAAATACAAAAATTAGCTAGTGGTGGCGTGCACCTGTAGTCCCAGCTACTCTGGAGGCGAGGCAGCAGAATCGCTTGAACCTGGGAGGTGGAGATTGCAGTGAGCCAAGATCGCACCACTGCACTACAGCCTGAGTGACAAGCAAAACTCCACCTCCAAAAAAAAAAAAAAGTCATAATTCATTAATGATATGGAGCATGAACTACAATGGGTCATGAAGATATTCATTTTCATACATGGTAAGATTAACTTTGAGCTTTTTGTACGAAAACATCTACTTTATGAACTTAAATCTGGCTAAAACCACTGAATTAAATTTTCACATTTATGAGAATTATCATAGTTAATCACTTAAAAAACCCCTCACTCAATTCATGAAAATACTCAGAAAACAATACTGAAAACGTAGGCTCCCAAGTCATCACATCACAAATAAAGCTATTATTACCTGTGCCTAAATTAAGGGCAGTGCCGAAAATAAAGAAAACTGATTACTCATGATGGTCATAAAACCCATGCCAGTCGGAACTGACACTTGGACCCCAGTTACTCCACAGAGAACTACAATGTACAAGTTAATGGCAACAGGATTATATCTGATTCCCTTTTCCCCCAGTATGAGAGCATCAGGGTCTCACTAAGGGTAACAGGTCACCGTGTTCGGCTGTCTCTTTCTTTGGTCACCAATGCAGGAGACAATATTCAGTGGAATTTACAAAGGGCTAGTTTGTTTATGAATAGGCTCCCACAGAGGTTTTCAAATTGCTTGGTGCAGCTCCTTGAAGGGATAGGGATCCAGGAGTGCTAACTGTGGCGGAGCAGTGGAGAGTCCACATAAATATATACTTATGTATATGAATTCATAGAGAGATGCATTCAAGGATGGCTAATAAACTGTTAATGGGTAAACATCTCAGGATAGAAGAATTTCAAGTGAACTTTAATTTCTCTTTAATCTCTATTTTCAATGAGAATATATAACTTTTGTTTTTCATCACAGGAGGGAAAACTAAGAAAAAGTTGACTACGACAACAACCCAAGAGTCTGAGACAACCCAGGAAAAGGCCTCCAGGTATAGAAAGATGCCCAAATTCCTTAAGAGTGCAGGACATCAACCCCACTGGAGGGTTTGCAGACTCAGAGGCATAGAGGAAAATCAAGGGGGGGTCAAGAGGAAGAAACTGATGAAAGCCAAAGTGAATCAACTATTTGAGTGAAAACCCCCAGGGCTGAATAACAGTGTATCTCCCAGCTGCAGAGATAACGTGGTTCCCATCATCACATCAGGGTAGGACGGGGGGTATGAATGTTGGCAGCATAGTGTTTCACACGAACGTACTCACTTGGCCTGAATCTTAAAAAGAAAATGACCCAAACAAAGACATCACAGGTCAGAATTTGAAAAGATAGCCAGGAACAAAATTTCTGTTTAGTGTTAATTTTACAAAGCAGACTTTCTAGAAATCTAATTTTCAAATTTGTGGGGGGAGGGTAGGAAAGCATGCTATGTATTAGATTAAGCTATTCAAAAAAGATATATTTCCAGTTAGCTTCAGTTCAGCATTAGTCTTTTAAATAAAAATTCATAGTTCAAGTTTGATGGTTATAGGCAGATGCAAACTTTTTTTTAAGTATAATTAATGCTATAATGAAGACTCGTCTATTAAGAATGGATTAGAGTAGCTAATATTCTCCAGGAGAAGGTAGAAAGGTATCATAGATGAGCATGCCATATATTCTAAAACGTTCCTTGAAAATGTTTAAAACAAACCCACATTTAAAGCACTTCTATTACTGAGAAAATTAAGTCAAATATAATGCTAAATAATTGGGGCATGGCTTTACTAATACTACTAGTTGAGTGGTGTATAATACTGCAGAGCAAGGGAATTTCTAATTGATTTGGTCTAGTTTGAGCTAATTATCAAAACCAAAATTATTCAAACTTCTACAGTGTTAATTGATTCAGTATATTATTCAATCTAATTTATAACTGTAGCCTCTCTCTTAAGAGTATCCAACTCTTGAACTCTCTCAAATTGCTAAACACTTTCCTATATTCAAACAATGCAGGGCCTTGAGACTTCTGGGTGCTGCCTTGTGGCAAATGTGGCCCCTGCCCTCATGGACACACAATCTGGAGCAAGGGAGGGAAGTCAAAACGCTAGAACGTTAGAAAACCATCAATTTTATATGTGAACACTAATACTAGTACTATAACATGTATCATATGTACAGTCAGGCCAGCCTGTGTCACCCGACAAAAGTGTCCAGTCAGAAAGTTGGAACCAATATTTCTCAGGCAATGAATTTTGGTTTGAATCAGTGATAATGAAGAGTCTGAGAAAAACATAAACCTTGATGCTGCTAATATTCATCAATGAATTACCTAGCAGTACTGTTAAATTATTTATAATTCAAAAAGTCTCTTTTGTTTGGAAAGACATTAATTATTACTACACCCCATTCTAAAGCTAGCTAGTAGTTACTGATAAACTGTACCCAAAGGAACAGTATTTTAGAGGATACAGAAGGATAAGAGAAAAATCCAGTAGCGTTTGGAGTTAGCAATGAAAATTCTCAACAGAGGCCGGGCATGGTGGCTCACGCCTGTAATCCCAGCACTTCAGCAGACCAAGGAGGGGGCAGATCATTTGAGGTCAGGAGTTCAAGATCAACCTGGCCAACATGGTGAAACCCTGTCTCTACCAAAAAATACAAAAAATTAGCCAGGTGTGGCCATGCACGCCTGTAATCCCAAATTATAGGGTGGGGGTGGGGTGATGCTGAGGCAGGAGAATCACTTGAACCTAAGGGTGCGGAGGTTGTAGTGAGCCCGAGATCACGCCACTGTACTCCAGCCTGGGCGACAGAGCAAGGCTCCATCTCAAAAAAAAAAAAAAAAAAAAAAAAAAAGTAAAAGAAAATTCTCATCAGAACAGTCACAGAAAATAATAGCTCTGCATAAAGTGGTGGGACAATGTAATTCACAATCACTATCCAGTAATACTCAATTTGTCACTACTCGAGGAGAAAACAATGACAATGATGAAGAATATAGCTGGTACTAAATTAGACTGAAAAATTCAAAATGTTAAAAAAAAAAAAAAGAAGAAATGGATGATCCAGAACAGTTAATTCTGTATTTTGAAATGACAACAGTAAGAAACCATTGTTCTTCATTCAAGATCATAAATTCATACACAACTATGTACCATAACCCTTTAGAACCCTTCTGGAAAAGTGTTATGTAAATTCACAGTGCTTCTGAGAGTATAAGAGAGAAAAATGTCCTCTTTGCTATGCTGCTCATGTGACTAGTCTAGAGGCTTGGAGACCTAGGCTCCCTCAAGTCTTGTTTTTACCATTAACTGGTTCTTAAGCAAGAACCAGCCTCTTAATTCACACTAGGAGATGATCTGTAAACGAATTCCTTTCCTGTTCAACTATGAAGTTCAAATGAGATAATATATATAACCTTAACTTTGAAAACTATAAATATCTCATAAAAGCATAGTATTACCTGTGAGAGTGCATGTGTCTACATGTACAGTTGTGTACATGTGATGGTCCAGTGGAAAATAAAAACTTCAGAATAACAGTTATAGTAAACCTGTACTGAGCACCAGTTATATGGTAGGTACTGAGCCATTTTCCTGCATGATCTCAATTAGTCTTTTTTCTTTTACATTTTATTTTTAATTGACAAATAATTGTATTAAGTCTTTGTAACAGCTTTATGAGGTATGAACCATTCACTACCTTTCTCATTTTAAATACGAGATACCTGAAGCCTAAAGAAGTGAAGTAACTTGTCCCAAATGAAACAGAGCTAGTGTATGTGACTCCTGAGTGTGTGCTCTTAACCACTGGGAAATAACTAAACACACAGGCATAAAACGAAGAGGCTTGGAGTGTGGCTTTCCGTTTGTTCATTCTGAATCTCCAGCACATCACAGGAGTGCCTGAGTTACAGCGAGAAATGTGTGTGTTTCCACCAACACCTTTTATGATAACCAGCAAATTCTGGACTTGAAGGATAAAAAGAGAAATCTTTTACATATCAATAAGCAAAGAGGGAATCCAAAAAGAATGTACCGTTTTTATTATAAAGGATAGTTGGCAACGAGAAACTGGAACCTTAAAAAAATGCAGACATCCTTTCGTTGTTCCTATTCAAACTGAATCAACTTTATCAGTTCAATCCTGTTTGGTGGAAATCAAACCAAAAGAAAATGTAAAAGCATTGCTTGGAAAGCTAATATAACATTCTTCAGGCATTTCTGATTAACCAAATGCCAATGAGATGTGGATGTAAAACCAGTGATAAATGAGGAATTTCACAATGAATAATAAAAAATAGTTTCAAAGGCAGGCTTAGATTCTCGTTTTTTAACCATCAATTAAAAAAAAAAAGTCATCCTGACCATAAAAATTTTGGTACCACCATATATGTACCCCCCTAAACATAAATAAACTTACCTTTGGTTTTTTGATCAGCAGCCTGAAAAAAAAAAAAAAAAAGAAAGAAACTCTTTAGGAATAATGTGTAGAATGTACACATCTATGAAAGTTTATAAGCAAACTTTTAGTATTGAAAATTTTTAGAATGAGTTTTTGCCCAGTTAATTTATGACAATTTATTAGTGGGAAAAATGTGTAACTGTCTACATGCCGTTGATTTCATATCAATATTAATCTAAAGGCACAAAATTCTATCTGGAGCTCATTTAAACTCTAATTTTAACAGCCTCTAACAGGTATACAGTTTAAACTACAAGATACATTAAACTAGGTAAGAACAAAGACAAATGGCATAGCTTGGTATTTTAAATGCCAAAAAATTCAAGCTTGACTATAAAGTTTACAGTAGGGCTTTTATTTTTAATTTTTACTAATAGGATTCATAAAAGAACATTTGCCAAAGCTGCACAAAAAAAAAAAACCCAAACAAACAACATTTCTAGCTTTTCTAATAAGATCAGTTGAATGGCCCTTTCTTCATTTATTAGACATGGTTGTTCAGGACAGTTCATTTTAAGTAGAACAACATGGACACATGTTACTACCAGCAACTAAAACACAGCTTCCTTAAAACACAGCTCTAACACTTCCACTTCCAAGTTAGACATTTACGGCTGTCACCTGTATTTATTTCACCAGTAGAATATCTATTATTTGATAATTATAGACTTGGCGTATTGATTTAAAATGTAACAGAATGAAACCTTGTCATGTAATGGCTATGATGATGCAAATGAGACACACAATGATACAAAGACAATGAAGTAGGAACTTCAGCCAAACCTTTTTCTGAGCACCTTCCTTCTTTTTCTTTTCTTCCTGCTTTTTCTTTTTCTTTTCTTCCATCAAACGTTCCTCTTCTTGTGTTTCTTGCTCTTTCTCCCTATTAAATACAAAGAAAACCAGTGTAAGTTTGATGATCATGTTAAGTCAAACAATGAAAAAGTATTAGCTGCTTCAAGTCTTAAGTCAGAATTTTGCATATGGAATACAGAAGGACCCTCTGAAAAGGTGCTAGAAAGGGACACTTCCCTAACAGCACTGCAGGTTGCCCTGAGTTCTTCAGTAGCCGGCTGTCTCATTCATTCAGCCCACATTGTTGAACACTAACCCATCATCAGGCATTGCTGGGGATAAGGGCATGATATGGAGTAAGATACAACTCCTACACTCAAATAGTCTGTATTTGAGAAACACAGACCAGTATTACTCAAAGTATTATCTCAGGGACCACCATCATTAGAATCATTGGGGTACCTATTAAAAAACATAGATTCCTAGTTTCCACCTTAGCAAAACCAAATCAGAATCTTTGGAGGTGATTCTTATGCACACTATAATTATGTTTGTTTGATAAGCCAATTTTATTAAAAATAAAGATTCCACACAGCATGGTGAGCTAGTATAAAGATACACTGGAACACAACATAGAGCAATTCTGCTCAGAAGGGGTCACAGCAGCCTATGAGCTAGTGCTGAAAACCTGTAAAGGAGTTTGGCTGGATAGGGTGTTATGTCAGTGACCGAGTCATCGACTATTTGCTCCAAAGTCACCCTTAAACACTTGCTCTGCAATAATGACAGAGTTCCTTTAAACAAATCTCCTTTCAGTGAGTACAACATGGAGCTTTCTCAGTAGAGGGCACCCTAGGGACACTGCAAGAGGAAGGTGCCCTTCTGCTGTTTCTAGCTGCTGGGGGAAGTGGGGGTAGGCGTGTGGGTGAGAGGCCACCCTGCAACGGCTCCAGCCATGGGCGGTTTCTCAGCAACCTTGTGGCTCTGGTGTGGTCTAGTGTCATCTTCTCATGACCATCTCAACACAGACACTGTGGGCTCAGGTCTTCTGTCACTCACCCCATCCACAGATTTGTCCCTTGTGATCCTCCCTAGCCTTGGGGAGGGGCCTCCTTCCAAAGTTGGTCTTTCCCTGGACACTTTCCTCAGGCCTAGGTACCACATAGTTTTCTATAGCTACCCTTTTATCGCAGTTTAATTATTCCTTAAATCAAACCTTCCTTGTCTATATCACTGTGTAGTTTCTAAATCCCAGTTGGACCCGGACTGATACAGACAGGAAGGATTTAACACACTACGCAGAAGTAAAAACATACACAAAAGTCTTAGCAAAACATCATCATCCACCCATGAATGTTTTGAATTTATTAATTTTGGAGTTTTTAATTTGTAAATGTGTTTTCTATACAACTACATGCATAAGGAATTTCAATCTAGTGTCAGCTAATCCATATTTAAATAACTATCATAAGAAAAATTTAAATTACATGGTGGTGGCTGTGTCTTAATGAATATTTTTCTTTAAACAGTGGTTCTCAGTCTTTGTTCTTCAGAATTACCTGAAGAGCTTCAAAAATCTCCAATGGCTGCAACCCATGCCAGGGAAATCTCTGGGAAAGGAACTCGAGCACTGGCAGTTTTTAAAGCTTCCAGATGTGACTCCATTTCCAATCAAGGTTGAGAAAACACCGTTTTTAAAGGAGGTGTGCATGTGTATCCAGTTTGGAAAATGATTATTCATTATATTAGATGATACCTTCCAGGGATGTTTTCATGCTAAAAGGCACAGAGACACTAAGAAATCTGCACTTATAGCCTTCTTATAAGGGACAGGCAACCCCTGTGAGTGATGGTTTTGCTATTATCAGGCTGAAGCTAAAATCTAGGGAAAAAGTGAACAAAAACCAAGCACATAGTAACTGCCCACTGCTATTGTTATATTTTCTTAATCTACAGCACAATAAGACCCTTAAGCTACCTCCCAATATTACACTTAATAAAGTAGACAATATAAGCTAACTTTTAAAAGATATTTAATAAATGGAATAAACATGATTTTTGCTTAATTCTATTAATCTACAAATTAGTTAGAGCTAGCTATTCCCTCAGCAACACAGTTCAGATTTTACTTTAATGGTAAAATAGAATGTTGTAAATAAAGAGCCCAAGTAGCCATGAGATCTCACACTTTCTCACCTGTGTTCGTGTTTATATGACAAAGCCTAATTCACAGCACCTATTGTTTGTCCTCACTGAATCTTCCCATTTCCTGACTCTTCCTTTTTCTTCTAAGCTATTTTAATCACTTCTTTTCCTACAGAGTCTACACCTCAAACCCATCTCATATGTTCACTAATTCAATCACTGAGGAACTACACAACTAACATGTGCTATTTGTTGTAGTAAGCACCAGGGACGAAAAGAAGGATGGAGGGAGGGAGGTGGGGACCGATTCATGTAATAAGTATTTTCTGAATAAAAGCTTTGTTTATTTTTGTAAACAGAGATGGTGTTGTACTATGTTGTCCAGGCTAGTCTCAAACTCCTGGCCTCAAGTGATCCTCCCAAAGTGCTGGGATTACAGGTGTGGGCCTCTGCACCCAGCCTGAATAGCTTTATAAGTGCTCTGGGATTATAGCAGGAAGCAAGAATACATACACTTTCAAGGATATTTACATAAATGAGTAAAACAAATTATCGCTATTACAATGGCAACAAGTACAAAATGCAGTGAGAATGTGACAAGATGAACATCTGCATCTGTCTGGGAACTGGCCTCCTGCTTAGGCTATTTTTCCGTTACAGTTGGGGAGCCAAATGTCCTGGCTTTAAACAAGATTATGAGCTTCCTCCGTCCTCTGGGCTATAAGTGCCTTGGTAGGAGGACTCTGTCTCTGCGGCCCTGAGAAGAATCTGTTACCCTTTAGGGCATTTCTGGTACCAATTTCTGGTATATAATCTCAGCTGAAATTTACAGTGCAGAAAATCTGTAAGTTTCTCTTTCAAGGAAAACTTTATTTTCTGATATGATCAAGTAGTATTTAAAAAGTTACTGTCTACCTTGCACAGTAAGATTATAAATTTGGATTTGAAAAGTGTTTTCACTTACTAAAAGAAGAAAAAAACAAATGTATCAATTAAACGGAGAGTCAATTCATATTTTTTCTAAGTTGTAAAATAAATTTATAAGTCAAGAAGCAAGGAGAATAAAGAATAAAGAAAAGGAATGGCAAGGCTGGGAGAATTTTACTTTTTAATCAGAACATTTTCTTTTTAAAATTACGTTTAAATATACATGATCAACATACATTTGTAAATATAATCTTATCGTGCTTTTCCCCCCAGGACAATATTTGCTTTCCTGTTGCTGACATGCTTGGCATCCCTTAGTCACTCTTTCTCCCCCTTCCATATCCATGTCAAATATCTCCTCCCCATGATGACCCACATTAAAACCACCTCGTTCATATCTTCCCGTTTTTGTCCCTACTCGTGTAACTGTATGAAAACATAAATACTTATACATTTTTACAAACATTTTATTGGATCATTGTTGGCATAACTGGGATTATGTTATAGAAACTTTTTTGCATCTTGCTGTTCTCATTCAATACTTGCAGGGAAGGAGGATCTCCCTTCTCTCTCCCTCCCCCTACTGAGAGGTCCAATCTGTTATTTCTAATGGCTCCATAATGTATCATGGTGCAAATGTTATCATATTATTCAGTCATTCTTCTATTCATACATATTCACTTCCTTTCCAGTTTACTGCCACTGCAAAGAACTCCAACTGCCCTACCCAGCTCTGCTGAAGAGAACAGCATCCCTTCGACTGGTGTTTCAGCTTATGTTTCAGTAGCAATGGGAACTAGGTAAGGAGGAAATCTGATATGGGCTCAACTGCCGGGCCCCGAGCAAGTCTGAAGGGCCAAATTGGATATAAATTACTATACCTCATATGGTGAGGCATACTATAATGGATCCCTCTGTACTGAGTTTTATTAGGAAGAAAACGTTTTTTAATAACATGGGTTTTCCATTTGTTTCTTTTATTCTCAAGTAATTTAGCAATCACAAGATTAGGAGGCTCTGGGTAGAAAAAGGAGCAACACTCATATTTTGGAGGCAACTAGGAGGAGGAAGGGGTGAGAAGAAGATTTCCCACAAATGGGCCTCTGTGGGTATCATTTTGGTGTTTCTAGTTAAACTGTAGATTTTCCCAGAGAAACAATGATTTACTTTTGTTTCAGAGGGTCTGATGGAGAAAGAGAAATAATGATTCAAAAGGTGAAATTATATAGGTAGACTGGGAATCCAGTCACCTCATGCAAAACTATTCTGGATGAAAAATGTTACAAATTACCAGTCTTTTTGTTAGTTGATTACTTCCTATATTTGTAAAAGAAGAAAATTCAATAAAAGAGGGCAGGGGCCTATTTTTGTCTTTGAGGTTTAGTTATCAGACATTGTACATGTTTCTCATCCTTAGTTTCACCTACAAAGAACACCATTGCCTATATACTCTGAAGTTAGACTGGCTAGACTTCAATGTCATGTCATCAAAATATTCACTAATTTGTGTGTGGGGGGGGAGCGGGCAGAGGGAGAAGGAGAGAGAGTGTGTGTGTGTTACATGCCACTATTTTGAAACTGACTAATTCTATTAGAATTTCCTTTCACTGTTTATGTTAGGAAGGGCTGGTAAAATGTTATCAGACAAAATTAAAAAGAGAAGGGGATGGAAATGGTATGCTATGCACTTGTCATAGAAATAGTTAAGGTCTTAATTTATTCAACATGTATTTGACTACCTGCTATGTGCAGGAAGTATTTGCTAGACTTTTGTGGGCAGTATGAGAAGGATAAGACAAAATAGTCTCAGCCTTGAGCATAAAATCTAAAAGGAAAAACAAGGTAAAGCTTTAATTATATTTAAAACTCTATAGACTATGGAAAGAAACAGAATAGAGAGTATGCTTGAGATTTAGAGTCACAAGGACTGGATTCTAAAGTGAAGTCAAGTCACTGGTATAGAGAAGGTCCAAAGCCCATAAGCCAGCGTATCAGATGGACTGCCTGTAAGAATGCTTAAGTCGCTCAGCACGACACCTGGACTGGGGGTGGAAAAGGCACTCATTGCCAAATGGCTCTGACCAACAGGACCAGAAGTTGTGAAGAAGACCTGTATTTGACAGCCTCTACAGTCTTCTGATTTCCACATTTTTGTATAATCCCTTCCTGTGGAGTACGAGAGAGACCAGCAACTTGCTTCTAGTCATTCAAATATGGCAAAGGTGTATGTCACTCCTCGGCTATGTTACATAAGACTCCAACTTGCTAGCAGACTGGCTTTAGAGTCTCCCTCTTCGCTGCTGGTTTTGAAGAAACAAGCTGTCATGAATCCTACTGCTGCAAGGAATGGCATTCAGCCAGCAGCCTGAGGAAGCCTGGATACCAACCACTCACCAGTAGAGCCTCCAGATGAAAACAGCCCCTGGCCTTGACTGCACAGCTTTGCAGCAACTGCTCACCAGTAGAGCCTCCAGATGAAAACAGCCCCTGGCCTTGACTGCACAGCTTTGCAGAGGGCCCAGGTGAGTACAGCCTCCTGAACCCACAGAAACCATGCAATGGATGTGCACTGCTTTAAGCCACTACATTTAGTGGTATTTGTTACACAGCATAGCAAACTAAACCAGGTGGTGATGGATTCAGGCCTTCTGGGGCTGGGCAAGATGGATTATACCAGCTATAGCCTCTCTCCTGCCAATTACAACAACAAAAAACTGGACAAAGTACAATATAAACACAAACACATAAATAATAAAAAGTAACAAAAGTAGGTGGTTTGGGGAGAGGAGTTAAATGTAGGGAAGGCAATCTGTGTGGGGGTAACTTTCTCATTTCCTTCTCTCAAAGCTTTGCCCAGGGAGTGGGTCCCAATCACAGCCATGCTGTAGCAGGCCTGGCACTGACACCTACAATCGAGAGAAACCCCATCTTTCTCAGCAGAGGAATAAAAAAAGGAGCACCCGTGAGCTGGACGTATCCCAGGAGAGTCAGGGATCCCAGAGAGAAATCAGCTAGAAAAGGGAATCCCCCAATTCTGTGTACAGACCTTCACCATTTTGGGCTTACCTTTGAGTTATGCATTTATGGGACAGACCCAAAACAGCAGAACAAAGGCTGTGAGATATGAACTATGATGACAACACCCCCCTCCCCCAAGCCTCAGACTAACTCCTACATGTGGGCCAGGTCCAAAGCAGCATAGTGAGAGCCTAGTACTGAGCTGACATTAGAAGTCTTGAAACTACCCAGGCTGACTGCCTGCTAAAACAAAAACAATACAACAAACCAGCGTTTTCTAGAGGAGTCTGATACTACTAAGAGTCTATATGACATATTCAAAACATCCAGGATAAAGTCCAAAATATCTCCTCATACAAAGAACCAGACTTTGTAGCCAACTATCAGGGCAAAAGACAATAGACATCAATGGCCAGATGACCCAAGTTTTGGAATTATCAGACAATGGTTTCAAAGCAGTTATTATAACTATGCTCCAGGAGGCAAATACAGATAAATACACTTGAGTAAACACATAAAAATTTAGAACTAAAAAACTAAAACATCTGAATTTAAAACATCATTGGATAGGCTCAAGAGAAGAATGGACATGAAAGAGGAAAGAGTATGTGAACTTAACAGAGAAATAAAAATTACTGAATCTGGAAAACAAAGAGACTAAAAAAATGAACAGAGCCTCGGGGACCTGAGGGATAATACTAAAAGACCCAACATTCATGTCACTGGAGGCCCAGAGGTGGAGAAGGAACATCAGTGAAGAAAAAAAATACACAAATTTATAAATTCAAAAAGCTCTGTGAATACCAAACAAGATAAACTCAAAGAAAATTATACTTGGATATAACAGATACTAAATGTAAGCAGCCAAACTCAAAAGGCTATGTTGCGTAGGGTCCATTTATATAATAGTCTGGAAAAGGCAAAATTGTAGGAACTGAAAATAGACCAGCAACTATCGGGGGGAAGAAGGGACTGGCTACAAAGGGGCAGCTCAAGGGAGTTGTTCTGTTGGGCAATGGAATTATTCTGCATCTTCACATGATGATGGTTATATGGTTGTATGCATTTGTTAAAACTCACGTTAACTGTACACCAGAGAGTGAATGGTACTACAAGTAAACTTTAAAAAGTGAATAAAAGGAATGACAGAAAACAAAATTTAAAAAAATTATAAATAGTTATGGTGGGAAGGGTTCAGGAGAATATTGAATCCTTCCCTCATGTCTTCCCTCCACCCTGATTCCCAGCCTGATGAGAAGTGGTTTCAACGAAGTGAAGACAGTATGTGTTGGGGGCATTGAGGAGGGCGCAGGGCTAAAGATAAAGGTCTTTGTTAACCAGAGGACCATACACCATAAGGCTCGGGGGAAAGATCTGAAGAAAAGGATGAGGAAACTTCAGAGCAGCACTGGGATTTGATTACTAGTTAGGAAGAGATGACAGCAGGGACATATACTTTGGAAGGATGGTGAAGAACCACGGAGATCAAAGAGAAGTATGACAAAATCAGTTGGTCTCAGGTATTTCAAAGGAATCCTGATATTATTTTCATTTTAGAGTTAATACAGATTTCAGCCCAGATTTAATTATCAGGACTATCATGGCTAAAATGAAACAAGACAAAGCCCAGCAGCCCATTATGGAGTTACTACAGCCTGAACTGACCGAACTTCTTAAGAAACAGTGTCTCTTGCCTCTCACCTTTTAAATTAATCTTACGGTGCTTCTTGTCTAGCCACTGACATAGGTATTTCACCTCCTTGTTTCACCAATGTCTTTCTATATTATCTTCTTCCATTTGGTTTTTTGTCACAGAACAAGTAATGCTTCTCATTTTGGTTGGTTGTCTCTGTGAAATAAGGTTGATGAACTGTCTGTTACTTTGCCACTCAGCTTCCTTTCCTCCTTTCCTCCTCCCATTGGTATCTGTATCCTGATTTTCCTCTCACCCACAATCTGTGGACTTAGGGGCCGTGGCTCCAGGGATGCATTTTGTGTCTGACTAATAGAAGGGCACAGCGTCCCCTGGGCCATGGTGCTCAGATTCAGGGATGACACTGGATGTGAACCAAACAGAATCAGAGGGCTGGAAGTTACTGTAACCAAATGAAGCCAACACCAAAGAAGGGAACTAAGAAATGGAGAGAAAAACTAAGTGTCCGTGAGGTATGCCCTTTGAGTCCAGGAATAAGCTGTTTTTGTAGCCCGGTATCTCAGTGCCTTGCCCTCCCCTGACCAAGGGGTGGGCATGAGACTCATACTAGGCTAATCAAGACACATCTTGGAATAGGAACTCTGAATTGAAGTGGCAGACAGCTGGAGTGGATTCACTGCACTGACTGTGCCCTACAAAACCTGCCATCAGTGCCTGCTACCTGGATTCTCCAGGCTGCACGGGTTGTGTCCTAGTTTTTCAGCTTGTCCTTCAATTTTGTCATCTGTTATCACATCCTTCCAAATGTTCCTCCTTTTTTCCCCCTTAAATTTGTACAGTTGCTTCCCACCATCTGTAACCAAGAAATCCTGATAATGCAGTTTATCAACAATCTATTTATTTAAACCTAGGCTTACTCAGTCAGCACTGACTGGCTGCAGCATTATTTGATTATTATTTGTCTTTAAGTAGGTTCAGTAAACACTTTACCACTAACTTTAGCGTTGCTATATTAATATGTCCATTACAAATATGGGAGGATTGCTATTTGTGAGACAGCGTCTCGCTCTTTCTCCCAGGTTAAAGTGCAGGGGTGTGATCATAGCTCGCCGCAGCCTCGAACTCCTGGGCTCAAGCAACCCTCTCACCTCAGAATCCTGTGTAGCTGGGACTACAGGCGCACATCACCACGCCTGGCTAATTTTTAAATTTTTTGTGGAGATGGTGTCTTGCTGTGTTGCCCACGCTAGAAGTATGGGAGTTTTAAGTACCATGTTGTGAAAACCTTTTCTTCATTTCTGAGTTTAAAGTCACCTCAAATTAAGTCAGAAAATGAGTGTAATTTTAATAGCATTCCACTTTCACAGTAAATTATATAATGATGTGTGTGTGTGTGTGTATGTGTGTACTTTAAATGTGCTAAAATAACAGAAGAAAATCTCCAACCAGTCTCTCAGATACAGTAGTCCTTGCTGGTACATCCTGGCCTATGTGTTACAGAGTGGTTATTAATAATGGTCAGGATTTCATTGTTTGCAAGAAATCCTAGGAACACGTATTCTGTAACCACTGATAAGCATAATGCTTTTCCCAAAAAAACTACTAAGGAGTTTGGAGGTGGAGATTTATTGCCTCTCAGTGCCAAACTCAGCTTTTTGCCTGCTCTGTGAAAATGGATCTGTGACCTTTAACTATTTTTCCTTTGCCAGCTGGCATGACGTTCAACCTTTTCAGTACAGGGCACTAGAGAGACACAGCAGGAGAAGAGTTCTGCCTCCTGGCTAGAGAGTTCCCTGGCAGGATCCTGCAGGCACACTCCAGCCATGTCGCCACCCCTGCACAGGCGGTTTTGTAGCACAGTGCCTCTGGTGAGATGCCTTTCCATGAACTGCTTTCAAGTTCCATCAACACAGCATCACAGTGACTTCTCTGCCACCCTGTGAGCCATGGCTGTGATCTCTCACTGGATGTTCCACCTCAGGCTGGAGGCAGGGGTCTCCTCCTTATATCTGCTATTCCTGAATCCTCTAAGGCTTTCTTTATTCTGACTAGTCAATCCCTCATTATTCTAATCCTGTTACAGTTAACAATTCTTGACAGTCAACTTTCCCTGTTTACATAACTGTATGGTTTCTCTCTCTTGGCTGATGGAGGAGCCCATAAATTAGGGCTTATTTCAATCCTATCAATAAACTGGAGACTTTTAAATACTGTCACACCAATCAATAAATAAAATTCACAGATGTGCCTAAATGAAAAAATTACATCAAAGTATAAAACGACAAGCTGTATTTAATTAATAGCACAAAGACCTGAAATATCAACCCTGACAGATGGAGTAATTATTTTTGCTTGAATTTGGCACTTGCCCTGTTTTCTTTTCTTTTTTTTTTTTTAAACTCCATGGTATTTCTGTGTTCTGAAACTTGTGGCATTATTTGGGCAAGTTTAGAAAAGGTTCTCCTTCATAATTACAAAAAAGAAAGGACAGCTGGGCGTGGTGGCTCACACCTGTAATCCCAGCACTTTGGGAAGCCGAGGTGGGTGGATCACAAGGTCAGGAGATTGAGACCATTCTGGTTAACACGGTGAAACACCGTCTCTACTGAAATACAAAAAAATTAGCCGGGCGTGGTGGTGGGCGCCTGTAGTCCCAGCTACTTGGGAGGCTGAGGCAGGAGAATGGTGTGAACCCGGGAGGCGGAGCTTGCAGTGAGCTGAGATTGCGCCACTGCACTCTAGCCTCAGAGTGAGACTCTGTCTCAAAAAAAAAAAAAAAAAAAAAAAGGAAATGACAGAGTCCCAGCACCATATAAGCGTTGGTCAGTCACTGAAGTGATGAAATGGACCCTGGGGCAGTTATCAATATGAGAACTATATGAGAACCGGACTGCAGGTGATCCCCGGGGTGGCTTTCTATTCAAACATTTTGCAATTCTGTGAACTAAAAGGACTGTTAACTGTGTGGATTCAGTTTCAGGAGCCATTAAACTAACTTGTGTTCAAAGTTGGATTTTAATTTGGGAAAGCAGGTGAGCATACAAGACCTGGGCAGAAATAGTTTGATGACAATCTGCACAAGAGAAAAATCAAATATAAAAAGAGATGATACCACCATCTACCCAGTCCCTTGATCCAGAAAAATCTGTGAAGCCCAGGGTTTGCATGTGAGGATAACAGGAGTTTCAGCGGTTTACAATGGAGTAATAAGCTGAAAAAGGACATGAATGTCTGCCTAAACAGTATTTTTTTTTTTTTTTAAATACAGTCTCAATCTGTCACCTAGGCTGGAGTGCAATGGCACAGTCTCGGCTCACTGCAACCTTTGCCTGCTGGGTTCAGGCGATTCTCCTGCCTCAGCTTCCTGAGTAGCTGGGATTACAGGCATGCACCACAATGCCCGGTTAATTTTTGTATTTTCAGTAGAGAAGGGGTTTCACCATGTTGGCCAGGTTGGGCTCAAACTCCTGACCTCAGGTGATCCACCCACCTTAGCCTCCTAAAGTGCTGGGATTACAGGGGGGAGACACGGTGCCCAGTCAATAGTTTCTATAATGAAACAAAGTAGAAAAAAAGTGACTGATTATATTGCTGCAGGAAAAAACCCCCACAGGTACTAAGAAGCTTGTTGATATTTCACATTAAAAATGTGAAATGTAAAAACTTAAATTTCATAAATGATGAAGAAAACGTTTTTTACCTGAAAAATATCAACTAACAGAAAAACACTTTAATTTTCTGTTTTCAAACACACAACAGGTTCAGATGCTGCCCACACCCTGCAGAAATTTAGATAGAGATCCTAAGCGAACTACTTCATAAAAAAAAAAAGTGTTCTAATTAAGTTTAGTCTTTAGTCGTTCATTAAACACAAAGCAGTATACTGATTACTGGAGCAAATTGAGATCACATTTGAGACTGAGCTGCATAGTCCCATACTTTGTAAACTAACCAGTATTTATTAGTTATAGCTCATTGTTTCTGTCCCTTAAACAACTTCCTGGAAATTACTATCTCAAATCAAAAACTAAAATTCAAAGCATAAAATTGGTATGAACTGTAAATCTAATACTATGTTCATATACCAATCTCAAGAAGCAAATGTTTCCTATTACTCTCATAAAGCCACCTTTAGGCTTTCTGATTTCTTTTAAAATGAAAAAAAGTGATAGGGCTGGACGCGGTGGCTCACACCTATAATCTCAGCACTTTCGGAGCCAGAGGCGGGTGGTATCACCTGAGGTCAGGAATTCGAGACCAGCCTGGCCATCCTGGTGAAACCCCGTCCCTACTAAAAATACAAAAATTAGTCAGGCATGATGGTGGGTGCCTGTAATCCCAGCTACTCAGGAAGCTGAGGCAGGAGAATCGCTTGAACCTAGGAAGCAGAGGTTGCAGTGAGCCAAGATCGCGCGATTGCACTCCAGCCTGGGCAACAGAGTGAGACTCCATTTCAAAAAAAAAAATGAATAAATAAAATAAAATAAAAATAAAAATAAAATAAGTGTAGAGTTTACCTCCTCCAAGACTTTAATGGAACCACATCTACTAACGGATTAACACGTACTCAGAGGTAACCTAAAATTTGCCAAATTATTTTACTATTTGATTCAATTCCTCTCTCTGTCCTTTAAGGATTCTCATTAGCCATAAGAACACATACCTGTTCTATAAGGGAAGACAAAGTTTCCCTACCATTCAGGTCTAAAAATAAGTTATTTTAGTGGGTACCTCACACAGGCGACGTAGTCATGCACTAGACAGCTGCTTCTTTGCGCTAGCATGTGTGTGCAAGGGTAGGCTTTATAAAATCATCTTTTGCAGCCTCTTGATAGCCAAAAAGCACCATGGGAAAACAGGGAATTTGCAAAAAGTCAGCAATTCTCTGGGGGGCCAAGGCAACACAGTCCAAGTGTGAAGGTTTCCAATGGTTTTGCTTAATCTTAAGATAAAACTTAGAAAATCAAACAATCCTCCATAAATACCAAGTTCCAACTGCAAAGATACTAGGGCAGCAGATAGTGTGAAGTGACAGTCTTTGGAAAAACTAACGGTAGCAAGAGCTGTCATTTGCTCAGCACTGGGCTCGTAAGGTCTTTCAAATAGATGATTCCATTCACTCCTCAAAACGATCTTGTTGAGACAGGTATCACCTACATCTTCAGGGAGAGGATCAGAGGATGAAGCTCAGAGGACCTCTGTGTACAGACACAGACAGTAAGTGACACAGCCACAGAGCCGTCGTCATTCAACTGAGGTTAGACTGAGTTCCAAGCATACGCTGCATCCACTATACCACACCGTATCCCTAAAGAGCACATATTCTTCATTGTGGTCCAAAAGTGACAGCCATATGCCCCAAACTTACAATGAACTGATGGTAAGGTTGACTTCATTTTTTGGAAATTGAAGAGCATAATCAAACAATTTCTTAGATATATATTACAGTAAAAGCAAAGCTGCTATAACAAAGAGACCCCAAAATACAACATGCTCAAGATGTTTCTTCCCTGCAGTCCAGAGAGGCTGGCCAAGCATCCTCGTTCCAAGTTTGTTTTATTCACTAGAGGAAGGAAAAGAGGAATTGAAGAGCAAATCACTTCCATTTTGGTTCATGCCCTGGAAGTTTATGTATTATTTCTGTTAACATTCAAGTGACCAGAACTTGCCCATATCGAGACACAAGGAAGGCTGGGGAAAATTTCTCTAAATGTGCCCATCTAAAACTTCTTTCAAAATGAAGATGTGGGGAGAATGCATTCAGGGGGTTAGTTAACCATCTCTGGAACCAATAGATAGCCTGCCCACCTCTACACATAGATAATAAATAATTTTTCTAAAACAAAACAGATACACATACAAATTTGGGTGTGTGACTTGAACAAACAATATATAAATCAAGACCCTGAGAGTCAACTCTCCAGGAACATGATGAAAATGATTTTAGCCGGAACTTCTTCAAGGGATCAAGATATCATCAGTTACCTGCTACAGCTACAGAAAAATCCTATTAACACTTCTCCAGAATAACGAGCAACAAACATCCTGGTAACCCTTACAGAATGAATTTGTTATAAAATATCAACTTTTATACCTAATCTACCTTCGAATATAAGATGCACCA